CCGGAGGACGGTGGAAGCTGTGCAGCTCAACCAGGCCCTCCTCTTGCTCCCCTGGACAATGCACGCCCTTATCATCTTGAAAAGGTATGGGACGGGGCAGGGAGCTCTGGGTCGGGCTCATGCCAGCCAGTCCCCCTTCTCCCAGTGGACCCTAGTTGGGAAGAGGCCTCAGGCAAGAGAAAGTACCATGTGATCGATTAGTTATGTCTGCTGTGGGCACGAAAACTGAGAGTGGCGGCCTGTGTGCTGTGGATTTACTATCCTTACCACCAAGCGGCAGTTCTCAAACTTTTGGCCTCAGAACTCCTTTACAGTCTTGAAAACTATTAAAGAACCCAAAGAGCTTTTGTTTTTGTGAGTTCTATTACTATTTACTAGAAATTAAAACTGAGAAAAATTTTTATAGGATGTATACACGTATTCATTTGTAAATGGCAATAACAAATCCATTCAGTGTTTTAAAAAATGATACTTTTAAATGAAAAGTTAAGTATATTTCCCCCTACAAAGAATGTAATAAGAAGAATGCAATGGTTTTACATTTTGGCAAAGCTCTTTGTTATCTGACTTAGTTGAAGACACATGGATGCTCATATCTACTTCTGATTTGAATCTGTTGTAATGTCACATGTCAGGTAGCCTCCAGAAAACTCAACTCTACACTTGTGAGAGAATGAGAGTAAAAAAATCAAACTGTATCTCAGTAGTATAATAAAAAATAGTTTGACCTCGCAGACAGACCTCTGAAGCAATCTCAGGTACCCGCCAAGGGTTCCTGGGCCACACTTTGAGAACTGCCATTCTGAAGACTAAATCTTGGCCCCAGCCTTCAGGAAGTTTAATTGAATGGGGAAGACAGGGATCTCGGTGCCAAAGGCTCGGGATTCAGACACATCCCAGGGCTGGGCAGGTGGGATTTCCCAGGGCAGGCCCCCTCAGGACTTAGGCTCCATAGAGGAGACCGTCCTCCTCCAGAGTTTGCCTGGCATCACATTTGCTTAGAACTTTCCAGACTCTGGGCAGCAAACCCTTCCCACCCCAGCCCAACACTGAAGAGGCCGTTCCAGGGCCCCCACCCCCATCCTGTCATGCTGCACAGGGAGAGCTTCGACTCTGGAGCCCCAAGTGGCCGTGGGCTCTTGGCTCCTCTGAGCCCCCAACCTGCAGCTGACTGCACCCCTCAGACCTGGAAGGCCTTTTGGGGAAGTGAAGCCCCCAGGTGCCTTGATCAGACATCATCCCCCAGGAAACCAGCTTCCCCTCCAGCTGCCGTGGTCGCGGTGGGCATTGGAGGAGCCGCTCTAACTGCAGGCACAAAAACGTCAGGACGGAGGGGACATGTCAGTCAGTCCCTTCTCCAAACTCAAGGCCCTTTCGGAGACAGAGTCGGGGGTGAGGAGACCGGCCCCACCTCAGCCTCCCGCAGGCCATCCTGACTGTTGCCTGAAACGCTCCTTGGCTGCCTCCATGAGCCCCGTGAGC